CTCTTTCTCTAGAAATTGTTCTTGCGTTGTTTTCTTCCTATGGCAGAACAACCAGAAAATCTTTTCAAATCTAAAACCTCAGCCCTTGTATCATCCAACACTTCATCCTCTACAGAAAATACCTTCGATGTCTGCCTAACTAAATCTCAACTCGAAGCCCTACACAAGATACTTGAAATACCTACTGCTCATGGATCCTTGGCTATTCAAGGTACTGCTTTTAATATTACTTCGGATTCAACTAATAAATCCGCTTGGATCTTAGATTCAGGTGCTTCCGACTACATGACAGGTAACTCATCCCTGTTCCACATCTACATGCCCTATCACAATCAATCTCGTATCCGAATAGCTGATGGTTTATACTCGCATGTTGCTGGGACTGGGGCAGTTCAACTCACTGAAAAACTCTTTTGACAAAGTCTTACATGTCCCAAGTTTATCTTGCAATTTACTGTCAGTTAGTAAACTAATTGTGGATAATGATGCTTTTGTTGAATTTTCTGCTCGTGGTTGTGTTGTACAGGAACAGAAATTGGGGAAGATGATTGGCACTGCTAAGGTTTGATGATAGACTCTACATATGGATTAAAGACAATAAGAAAGGAAGTTTGGTGTTATCTGTTTCACATGAGGACATAATTATGCTGTGGCACCAAAGGCTAGGACACCCAAACCTCTTGTACATGAAGTATGTATTTCCATTGTTATTTCGAAAAAAAATCCAAATTCCCTAAAGTGTGAAATCTGCCAACTCTCAAAACATACTCGTGTTCCTTATACATTAAAACCTTACATCCAATCCAAACCTTTCTCCTTAATACACAGTGATCTATAGGGGGCTAGCTGAGTGAAAAATATTACGGGGGCTAGATGGTTTATAACATTTATTGATGACCATACTAGAGTTTGTTGGGTTTATCTCCTCAAAGTAAAGTCCGAAACACCCAAAGTATTACAAAATTTTCATTCAATGATTAGAACCCAATTCAATTCCACCATACAAACGCTCCGCACCTATAATGGAAGAGAGTACTTCAACTCGATTTTAAGTCCTTACCTTGCACTACAAGGCATAATACACCAAAGCTCCTGTCCAGACACACCACAACAAAATGGAATTTCGGAAAGGAAAAATCAGCACCTATTAAATGTTGCTCGAGCCCTAATGTTTACCACAAATACCCCAAAATACCTATGGGGAGAGGCTATTCTTACCGCATGCTACCTAATTAACCGAATGCCATACAAAGTCCTTAAATTTCAAACACCTCTAAATACCCTTCAAAAAGCTTACCCTCTTTTCCATGTTTATACCTTACTGGTTAAATTATTCGGGTGTAAAGCCTTTGTCCATAACCATCAACTCAACCTATCTAAACTTGACTCTCGTGCTCATACTTGTGTTTTTGTTGGCTACTCCCCTACGCAAAAAGGGTACAAATGTTACTAACCTACTTTGCATCGTACATTTGTTTCCCGAGATGTAACCTTCTTTGAAACAGAACCATATTTTTCAACAACTCATCTTCAGGGGGAGATTCTCAATGAAGATGAGAACCTCAATACCCTCCTTATTACTCCACCACCCGATTCTAATCTACCACAAAATTTTCATACAAATGACATCATCATAGTCCCCTCACAACAACCACCTAATGACATCCTCATAGTCTGCTCACAGCAGCCCTCTTCCCAGTAGCCCTCTTCCCAGCAGCATAATGATGATCCTAGTTTGCAGAAACATCAACAACTTGCTCCACAGCTTACTCTTGAAACTCAACAACTTTGTGCTCCTGAACTCCGGGTTTATTCAAAGCGCCATTACTCTCCTGAAACTGACATAGAAGTGCTAAATTCATCTACAACCGTGGACTGTTCTACAATAAAGGTAACCCCTGATTCTCCATCTATCGATCTCCCAATTGCTATTCGAAAAGGTGTAAGGACCTACACCCAACACCATATCTCTCGGTTTGTGTCTTATGGAAATCTATCCAAGTCATACAAAAACTTTGTGACAAATATTGACCATGTAAAAACTCCAAGGGATGTGAAGGAAGCTCTTGAATCACCCGAATAGAAATATGCTGTAATGGAAGAAATGAATGCTCTAAAAAACAATGGAACATGGGAAATCTCGGATCTTCCTGAAGGGAAAAAATAGTAGGTTGCAAATGGATTTTCACCACCAAATTCAAAACTGATGGAACTATTGACGGGCACAAGGCTCGACTTGTGGCAAAGGGATTCACTCAGACATATGGGCTCGACTATGATGAGACCTTTGCACCTGTTGCCAAACTTAATACTATTCGAGTTCTTCTATCACGTGCTGCAAATCTTGATTGGCCTTTGACTCAGTAGGATGTTAAAAATGCCTTCCTAAATGGTGAATTGGTCGAGGAAGTGTATATGGACTTTACACCAGGATTCGAAGAAGAAAAAGGTTGGGTATGCAGGTTAAAGAAATCACTATATGGGTTGAAACAGTCCCCAAGAGCTTGGTTTAGTCGATTTGCCAAGGCTATGACCAGCAGGGCATATACCCAAGGACAAGCTGACCATACCATGTTCTACAAACATTCAAAGGAAGGTAAATGCTCCATCCTTATAGTCTATGTTGACGATATCATTCTAACATGAGATTATTCGAATGAAATCAGATGCCTAAAAGAGTTCCTTAGCACTGAATTTGAGCTTAAGGACATGTGAAATCTAAAATACTTCATTGGAATGAAAATAGCAAGGTCTCGAACAGGTATCTCCATCTCTCAACGAAAATATGTTCTAGATTTACTGAAGGATACTGGCATGTTAGGTTGCAGACCTGCAGAGACTGCAATGGAATTCAATTTGAAACTTGGAAATAATGAAGATGGAGAGGAAGTAGACAGGGGGAGATATCAACGACTTATGGGAAAACTTATCTATCTATCCCATACTTGTCCTGACATTTCTTTCAGTGTGAGTATTATCAACCAATATATGCATAACCCAAGAAAGAAACATCTAGAGGTTGTCCATAGGGTGTTGAGATACTTGAAGGGAACCCCGGGTAAGGGCTTATACTTCAAGAAAACAAATAACCGATATGTAGGCATCTACACAGATGCTGATTGGGCAGGTTCGGTGAATGATAGAAGGTCTACAAGCGGTTACTGCAGTTACGTGTGGGGTAACCTTGTGACGTGGAGAAGTAAAAAACAATCTGTTGTAGCCTGCAGTAGTGTTGAAGCTGAATATCGAGTTGTGTCACATGGTATATGCGAGGGAATTTGGATACAACGACTAATGAGGGAATTAAAAATGCCTCACACCAGACCTATGAAACTGTACTGTGACAATCAGGCAGCAGTGAGCATAGCATACAATCCGGTTCACCATGATCGTACCAAACATGTAGAAATATATCACCATTTTATCAAAGAAAAGATCGAATCAGGGGAAGTATGCATAAGCTACCTACCAACTAAACAACAAATTGCAGACCTGTTTACTAAGAGCCTAAACAAGGACATGTTTGAAGATCTCACTAGCAAGTTGGGTTTGATGAACATCTATACACCAACTTGAGGGGGAGTGTTGGAATTCCTAGAATCAAGGAACAATATCTTTTTTCTTAATTCTAGGAGTTTGTCTTATGTAAATAGTCAACTAATCTAATTCCCTGATCTTAGGAATTATTTCCTAACTTAGAGTAGTTATTCCTTATAAATTGTAATTTACGTTTAGAGCAATAAAGTAAGAATTTCATTTCTTCTCACATTTGTTCACTACCATATTCAGTAGTATCGATATTGTATATAGTACCGATACCATTTTAGTATACTGGAATTTTAACGGATTCAAAACCTAAAAGTAGTATCGATACCACCACTGAGAGTATCAGTACTACTATACTAAGTAGTATCGATATTGTATATAGTATCAGTACTATTTTAGTATTATGTTTTGACAGTATCGGTATTGGCTTAGCAATATCGGTACTACTTCATCATTTTTGGCTTTAATATTGATATCTGTATCAATACTTTTTGAATAGTATCGGTACTATGCTTAAAAATTATTTTTAACTTGATTAAAGTTTGAAACCCTTAGTAAAAAATATTTCAAAAATATTTTCAGTATAAGACTCAATTTTTTCAGTAGAGTGAGGAATAAAATTGACCTTTTAACTTTAAAGAATAATTTATATATTCGAACCTTTGAATTGAATATAATCTTAAATTTTGTAAAAACTATTTAACAATTTTTGGTATATCAAAATATCAAAGTGTTTTCCACTAAATTAAAAAGCATAGGAGAAAGAGAATACCCCTGGTGAAGCTCTTTAGAAATTTTAAATTCTTTCCTAGGAGACCCATTAACTAACACGGAGATGGATGCAGACGACAAGCATAATTTGATCCACGAACACCATCTATTACCAAATCCCCATTATCTCTATAATTTTCAACAAAATCCCCAATCAGTCGAATCACACGCTCTTTCAAAATTCACCTTAAAAACAATACCCTTCAACCCTTTCTTTCTCCAAAAATCAATCTCGTCATTCCCAACAATCGAACAATCCATGATTTGCCTAATCGGAATAAAAGCAAATTGGGTCGACCTAATAATTGCGTTTATACAAGCTCGTAACCTCCTCGATAACACTTTTGAAAGAATTTTATACAGACATCCTACAAGACTGATTGGCCTATAGTCCTTCAAGCTCTATAGGTTAATTTTCTTTGGAATGATTGTAATATAAGAGTGATTCACCTCTTCTTCCCATCTCTTTCCCATATAGAATTCAGAAAAGAATCTCAAAATTTCACTTTTCAAACTTGGCCAGAATCTTTTGAAGAACCATATATTTAAACTGTCTGGACCTTGAGCCTTGTTACTATCCGAAGAAGCTACTGCATTCCAAATCTCTTCTAAAAATGGCCTCTCCAAAAAACAGAACTCTGATCAATCGAGAGCTTCAAAAAATTCAGGTCTATGTATTCAACTTCAAGAGTTACTTTTTGATTATAAGCCTTTCTGAAGAAATCTACCACACCTTTTTTTATCAAGCCCGGATCCGAGACTAGACTCCGAATCACCTTCAAAGACTTGATACATCTTAATCTCCCTCTATTAGTAGCATATTGGTGAAAGAAGCGAGAGTTTCTATCCCATTCTAAGTGCCACTTTATTCTCAATTTTTGGAACTATTTCCAACTAATCCTTCTTACATAATTCCCACATATTTGATTTCTCTTTCGCTAATGAATACATATAAATTGGAGTTGACCCTTGCTGTATCGCCAACTCCATTTCGTGAATGGATTTCTCAAGGTCCTTTATTCTGCCCAGAATTTTCAGATGCTGATTTTTTTACCATTTTTTAATTGTTGATTTTGTACCATTTAACACAGTAGAAATGTTATTTTTCATTCTTCCCTCTTGAAGTTTCTTCAATTCTAACTCCATCATATCTTTAAAGCTATCATCTTCCATAATATAATTAAATAATGTGAACGGCTTAGGCCCCCAATTTACCTTGCAATTTTCCAACAGTATCGCATTATGATCAGAAATTGATCTTGGCAGCAGGCTTTGACTTATCTTAGGAAAATGAGATAAAAAGCTCTAATCAACCAAAAATCGATCCAGCCTAACAAAGGTCGTTAAATCCTTGTTGTTACACAAAGTAAACCGGCCGCCAGCTAAAGGAATATCGACCAGATTAGCTTGAGATATAAAATCTCTAAAGATTGTCATGGAAAAAACATTCGAACCCTTCTCTAATTTCTCCTCCAGCGATAAAATCGCATTAAAGTTTCTCCTACAAAAATAGGGCAATCAGATTGTTCAATAAAGGGAAGAAGATCACCAAAGAAAAGTTCTTTTTCAGAATCCACACATAACCCATAGACGTTTATTAAACGTCAATCCTCTGAAAATCCATTCAATTTACCCTTCACCGTTATAAACCTTTTGTGAATGAAATTCGATTGAAGACAGAACACGTTCTTGTCCCACATTGTAATCAAACCCCCTGCTAACCCCTCCGACGGAGAAGCTGCTGACCCTCGCAAAGCCTTTACCCCAATCTTTCTTAACAACGAAGGCTTGATTGATTCTACTTTCGACTCTTGAATAAACAAAAAAAAAAGTTTCTAACTGTTAACCACCCCTTTAAATACTATTGTTATTTCCTTCATACCCAAACCCCTTATATTCCAAGATATAATTGAAAACTTTACCATTTCAAGAAGTTACAGAAAAAACCTGTATCACCTGGGAAAGATTAACTTCCCCCTTTATCCGCATTTTCCTTTGCCAATTCCATAGCTCTCTTCATGAAAGCTTTTTTCCTTTTTCTGAAGGTAACACCGAGTAGACTACTGGTCTTGCAGGTTTCAACAAAGTTCCTGGTGAGCCGGAGAGTCATACTGCAGAAGACGAAAATTCTGAAGGGAATGATGAATATGTTAAAATGAAATGGTTCAATTTGAATCTAATGGGATTTGATAAAAAGCTTGGTTGAAATGGGTATTTTAGATAGGTTCTTGTTACACCCCAATTTAGGGGTCAAATTATAAGTTTCCGAAACTTATAGTCAGTCTTAGAAGTGCAGGAAAAATTCAGGGACTTGAACCTGAATTTTAATAATTTTTTTTACACAAGAAAAATAAACCCCTAATCGATTAACCCCAAAATTATCCCAAATTATCAAAACCTAAATCCCTAAACCCCCTAATCGAAGCCTCGTCGGGCTCTCAAGCCCTTGTCGTCCGGCCATCGTTCGACCTCCCACTACCCCGTTCGATTCGTCGATGACCGACGACCAAGTCCTAGGCATCACCGAAGTGTGATTCGACGTCAATCAGCGTAAATCGACGCTTGAAATCACCATCGCGAACCTCACCCGCTGTTATGTTTTATGTGTTTTCTAACCGATCCGATGACCGTCGTACCTCACCACCTTTCTCATTGAGTTCCTTAGCTCCGTGGGACCAAAACGCGATCGGGTTTGTCGTCCATCGTCGTCTTTTTCGCCGATCACCGGCGTGGGTAAGCATTTTGATAATTTTCTTTTAATTCCAATAGATTTTGGCTGATTTTTGGATTGATTGGGGTTGTAATTGGTGAGTGCTTGGACAGGGAGTAATCGGTACAACTAGAAGTGCAAGTGGGGCTTGTTCTCCTGTTTTGGTTTTTTTAGAGTCGGTCCAACCAGTCTGGACCGGATCAACCCGACCCGTCTAATCTGACTTGACCTGACCCGCATGGTACGATCCAGTCACTGAGTCAACCCGTCTGAATCAATTTGGTCTGAGTCAACCCGTCTGAGTCAACTCGTCTGAGTTAACCCATTGATTTTGACTAAAAAAGTTAAATTTTTTCGAAAAGCCATATTTTATTATTTTCGACGTCCTAAGTCCGAATCCGAAGTCCGTTCCGCCAAATTCGCACATGGTAAGCCATTTTTCAATGTTTTATCTTCGTATTCATATTGGTTATTAAGTTAAGTTTCTGACGTAAATTCATTTTCTTTGTATCTGATGAATTATTGGACGTTGAATTAAAGTTCGAGGACGATCAAATGGAGTTTAAATGGCCGATCTATATGACATAAAAATTGAGGTAATATTTTACTACCTTTTGTATGCTTTTTAAGAGTCACTGATAAATGGTAATTGCATGAATGTAAATGATTGGTTCATTAGGTTTGGTTAACTATCATTGGACTCAGACAAAAATTGGAATAAAGATATAACACTATATAAGACTCTAACGGCTCGAAAAAAAATTGATAGACTGGTCGGAAATAAATTTCAGTTTAATGATCTAATCAGTAAATCAATTAATCTCAGAACATGTATATTCTGATTAATCTCGTTAAATGCTGGAAATATTTGGATAAGAAACTGATAAAAATAACACTATGGGGTAAAATTTTGAAAATACCCTTGTATTGAGAAAGAACCAAGACTTCCCCTAGTGGTGAAAATAACCCCAGTGATCAATTGATCAAAATACTCTGAACTCTAATGGAACTAGAATACTTTTAAGCCTAATTTATTCGAAGTAATGCCATTGAAAGAATTGAATAAAATGACGATAATACCTTAAAGTGTAAAAAGGAATATGGATGACTATGATAATGGAGACGACCTGAGAACTTATATCATGATTCATTGGAATCTTGGAATCACCGATTAAACTCCTGATTTATTTGGAATGCCCTTGAAGTGTAATATGATTTGAAGCACGTCCAAGCCTTGGAATAATTAATTAATTCTCACCTCTGAAATGAATAAATCAACCTCGAATACCAAAATGATTATATTAAATGGCCAAATTACTCTAGAAACTCCGAAGTGATCGAGATAGACTTGACTACTAAATGATCTATCTACCCTCAATGACCTAAGGTTAAGTGAGTGACTTGGATAAGCCTGGAAACGCTGACGAATTTACATGATGTACTGTTTCTAAGATTTATTCCGCGATGATTCTGAAGATGATCAATTCGAAAAGAATTGTCTGTATTAAGTGAATACTCTGGAAGTGCAATGTTTTGACTGGTTGACATATATCATTGTTGTGACTTGTACAGTTCGGGTTAACTTGATATTCTGATAGATTGACACAAATCATAAATTCCCTGAATCTTCGTTTCTCCCTTATCAGCTCAAATCACTAAGAATTTTCCAAGGAACCTAATTCTCTAAATGCCTCTGATTTCCTGGATAATGAAATTACTCCTGTCATATCTGAAAACACGAGTAACTCTAATGCAAAGGATTCTGAACACCTATCTGATTACATAGTGCCTTCAAAAAATATCCGAATATTATATTATCTAATAAATCATATTCTGAATAATTAATGTTATGCCAACTATTGAATCTTTTCGATAGTGATTCTAATTTACGACATTCTATCGGTATACTGAATATCTGTGTTTCTCTTCCCGATAATATTATCATGTACCACTGAATAGTATTTGGAACCTCTAGTGTGTTCCATGAATACATGAATGTTTTCTCTTATTTCTATTTTGATCTCTGCTCTGATATCTCTGTTTACTGACTGAAATTATTTTTATACAGGGTACTCTGGGACTCTAGTATGCCTGAAGACTCTGGCAGGTTTAGTCGATGTTGGTAATTCCTTGTATAGGTTCAACACCTACTGGTAATTTCTTATGGACCTAAGGCGACCGTTGGGTAGGCTCTGAGGCCCCGAGAATTTTTTTAGGTAGGCTCTCAGGCCCCAAGGTTCTCCTTAGAATATGCAGTTTCTGGGGAGTTGCATATGGCGTTAGGTTGAATGGATTACTATGATACACACTATTTTAGGTCAAAAGGATGGAACCAGTACAACGATTGATATCAGTAAAGGAGTTCCACTGGCATTGCTTTGGAGTACGGTGCCTGTGTTTAGTGGGCATGTAGGTTGTATTTTGTTTTATATATATGATTCTGAAATCTGTTTTATTTTTGAATACTGGTAAATTTTATTTTTGTATTTATAAATTATTTTTATGATTTTAAATGTTTTAACAAAAAATTTAATTTTTTTGAGATTTTTACGGCGGGTTGTTCCGGTGACTCTAATGTGACACCCAAGATCGGATCGGCCCACCCATATCGGTCTGAGGGGTTACAGTTCTTGTGTTTATATGAAATATTTGTCAGTACTCTGCTGCCTGCTATAAGCTTTGGCTTGTATTTATTTATTTATTCAATTATTTTTTATGTTTATTGTTGTTCAGCTATGTTAAAGTACGATGATATCAATGCATGTGTTTTCTCCTATAGACTGACTTATTTATTGCTTGAATTCGAGCTCAAATTGAAGTTCTTCAACACTGATAAAAAAAATGGCATGGCTCTTGGAATTTCCTAAAAGAAGAGTCAACATGATGCTTTTGCAGAAATCAGTCAATAATTGAAGGTTGCTCTATATGCATTTCCATGCAATATTCTTAAACTTGATAGCCTAATTTTGGACTAATTCTATTCCCTCAAGCTAATTGGTTGAAGAGGCAAAATGACTCGGAAAAGTTTCAAAAGCAACCCTTTCTTGCAATAGTAGTATAATGGCAAAAGGTATGAAAAATGGTAAAGAAAATAGCGGCGGGTTTAAAAATATTTTTGAGGGTAAGTATATATATTAACAACATAATTTTTATATGTGGGTGAGTATAAATAAAATCTTAATGCAGACACAATTAATAAAATATATAACTGACAAAAAAATTGAATTTTAGAGAAGGAAAATTGAATTTCAAGATGGGTACTTCTCACTCTAAGCAGAACATGAATATGCAACGGTAAAGAATGTAGCTACTAGAAGAGGAACAAACTTACAGTATCAAACACTGGATTCAGTATTAATGTTTAGATTGCTTTTATATGAAGCACCTAACAATATGTTGTGTCCCCATTTTAATTGACATTGATATTTGAATTTAGGTATGATACTGTTAAGACAAAATTAACTCTCGATTTTAATATTGATATCAAAATCAACACTATGACATTAAATTGATTTATGGTATCTATATTCTTTGGGTAATATTGGTGCCTCATATTGAATTGATGTTGATAATTTTTAAATAATATTGATACTTTTTATTGATTTAATATCAATACCTCTAAGACAATATCGATATCATTTATATAAAATTGTTAAAATACTATTTAAAACATGCTTCTAACCTTTTAAAAAATCCACTAACCAAAGTATCATCCAACTAAGGTATTCCACCTCAAAATGTGATTAAACTCTACCAATAACACCTGAAATCAGTAGGGTACATTTGGCTATGACACAAACTAAGCTTGTTTACAATCATCTTACCATGTTTTTTTCATAAGAGGACACAAGGATCATATCATTGCCATCTTATCATCGTATCATACTTGGACTTCTAAAATCAGAGCAACCAAAATCATACGTATATAGTTATACAAAGATACAATCTACGTAAACTGAACGTGAATGGTGCATGTCCTTCCGATTCCGGTACTCTAGCTATTGGGGCCATTATCCGAGACTCAGATGGTTTTGTATCATGTGGTAGGGCTATCTGTATCACCGGATTCCATGATGCAAGTTATGTGGAAGCACATGCAATCTGTTTCGGTCTTCGTTTAGCTGTGGAGATGGGGTATTCTCGTGTAATATTGGAACGTGATGCTGCTAATATCGTTCAGCAGGTAATTAATCATCATTCTGACATGTAGGGCTATAAATGAGACGAGACAGATCGCGAGTTACTCGAGATCGACTCGGTCAAGGCTCGATAAATACTCGTATCGAATGGACTCGACTTGAATTCTTAACGAGCCGAAACGAGCTACTTGATACTCGACTCGAAAAGTTCATGAGCAGCTCGAAAATATAATATATTAATATTTTATTTTTTTAAAATAAATTATTAATAATATTAACATTTATGTGTTGATTTTTTTTAAAAAATATAGTAAGGTTTTCATGTATTTAAAGTTCATATTCGAGTTTGAGGCTTCAATCTAGTTAAGTTTAATTTTTTTTTCATTTCGAGCCTTTTCGAGCTCCTCACGAGCTTCGGTTCAGGATTTCGAGTTCATATCGAGCTTAAAAATTTTAAGCTCGCGAGTTTTCGAGTCGAGTCCAGCTCAGAAATACTCGAGCTCGACTCGGCTAGTTTACACCCCTACTGACATGTCAGTGCTTCGGTTTATTTCTGGACAATAACCCAACTTACACCATCTGCTCCATATGTCGTTCGACAAATGAAGCAGCTCACCAATTGGCTCGGCTCGCGTTTTCATCCTCAACTTCTGTGTCTTTTACTTATGATTATCCTTTATGTTTATCTGAAACTATTGTTCATGACACTATATGGGATTAATAAAGTTTGGACACCCTTTCCTCCTATTTAGGTTTTAGTAGGGATTTTTAACGAGGTCATTTTTAAGGGAAAAATACAATCTACTCCAAAACATGACTCAAATCCTCACTTAGCACACATAATATCACATCAGGCCCAAAATGAGTCCCCTAATCTTAAAACCAAGGCGCACTTTAGCAAGAAGCAGTCCACCGAAGAATCGAATTACTAAAACACCCCCAGAAAACGTTGGCATCACCATTTAATCAAACAATGATTCCTCAACGGGGTATAAACTCTCGAAACGTTTTCCGTCGGGTGTATAAAGATTGAGTCAGCACTTTGTTTTTTGTTTAATGAGATCAATGGTGTATTCTGATGAGACAAAGATGGCGATGGGATCCCACAGATTGAATCCTCTTCACAATTTCAAGCTGCCATGTTTGATGTGGGGGAATCAGAGGCACCTGAGGTGTATGAAACTAGGCAATGCTTCCACCGCCGCCGTCTCTTCCTCCTCCGTCGTTGATCGTCTTCTTCTTCGGCGTTTTCATGTGGTTCAGAGACGCCGATCTCTTCCGTCGTCGAAATTTGAGGGGTTAATGGTTGGTTTGACGACGCGGCAGGAATCGGAGTCGTATCCGAGATACGATTATGGGAGGGAGGGGCGGGTTATGGTGACGAAGGGAGATGCGGCGGAGGAGATCGAGGCAGTCAGGGAGAAGATTATGAAGGATCTTAAAATGGCGGCGGATAAGATCAAAGATGAAATTTTTAGAGATAAAGCTTCCGACGGTGATGAGGTGGAGGCCGGTGAGAACGAATTCGAAGAGCCTAAACTCAAACGGAAAGAGAAAGAGAGGGAAGAATCGCTGGCGGTGGAAGCGAGGCCGTGGAATCTCAGGATGAGGCGCGCGGCGTGCAAGGCTCCGACTGACGGAGGAGGAAAGAACAACAACTACAGTTCTGCGACGAGGAATGAGGTGATCAACTCACTCAGAGTAAGAGACGGAGGAGAGCTGGTGGTGTGGGCGGCGGCTGACAAGAAGAAAAGGGAACGGCCGGAATTCTCGGTGAGACTATCGATGCAAGAGATCGAGGAGGATTTCATGGTTATGGTTGGGCGTCGCCCTCGGAAGAGGCCAAAGAAACGACCACGTTATGTTCAAAAGGAATTGGATGTAAGTTTCAATCTTTCTTCTCCACTGGTTGCGGTAATGATTTTCCGATTTCTTCTGGCCTTCTTCAATTTGACTGAGCTTTTCTTGGGGTCGCAGTCGCTGTCTCCCGGCTTACAGCTGACGGAGGTGACGGTGGATTCTTACAAGGTTCCGGACTCCGGAGCTCATTGAAAACGGCAATGTAAGTTCGAATATCCTTTAACTCGATAACTTTCTTCTTCTTTTTTTTTAAAAAAAACACTTTCCCACCATTTTCCCTCTGTGTTTCCATCAAATTCTCTGGAACCAAACAAATGGTATTGATTGTAATATAATATGTGTGCAGATGGATTGTTTCAGTTATGGTAATTTTCTGAGCATCGGGAATATTTCCTGTAAATGTTGAATTTTCCCTGCATTTCGCTCTTCATTAATTTCTTTCTTTGTCTAAAGCTGAATAATAAAGAACCTAGTTTTCCATCTTTGACATTGAAAAGGTTGGGTGCTTTGCTGTTCATTCCCAACTTTCATAGGCTCCAGATTATCTTTATTAAGTATACAAATTTAATCATCTTGAATTTTTTCTCTGCATTTAGAAAACTCAGCGATCAATCAAAAATAAAATGTTTTAAGGACTTAATTGAATAACTCAACAAAATTTATTAAATCAACTCAAAGTAACTAAATTATCACCTAATTATATTATAAAATACATTTCAAAAATTGCATTAATTAAAACAGTAAGGAACTAATATGTAATTTGAAAATAAACATGTATAAGTTTTTTTTAGGAAAAATAGAAATTAAATTTAAATCTTAATATATTAAAATAAAATAAAATAAAATAAATAATAATATAAAATAATATTAGATGAAATTATAAAAATAAAATTATAAAATAAATTTAAAAGATTATCACTCGTGTTATAATCTTATTGGATAGAATTAATATATTAAATAAAATTAAAGAAATAATAATATAAAATAATATTATATTAAATTATAAAAAAAGTCATAGTCAATTTCAGATTAAATATTTTAAAAAAATTAAATTGAACAAAAATGAAATTTGAAAGATTTAATATACCATTTATCCTTTTCATTAAAATCAACCAGTCAAAATTGTCATGGTATGCCTTGATTGATCAATTCTTTTTAATGACTTTAAAAAAATGAAACAACAAAGATAACCTTTGATAATTTAGGAGAGAAAATATCTTTAAAATTAGTTAAGAGACTATTATATATATATTATATATATATATATATATATATATATAGGGTTAGAATTCACTTACATAATGTAAAATTCTTTAGTTTTACATAGATTTAAAATCGTTGGATGAGTGAAAATAGATGGTTGAGATTGACACATTATTTTCTCTCATTAAATATCTTCATATTTCTTAATTTTAATCCCAACTATTTATTTTCACTCATCTAGCGATCATTAATCTGTGTAAAACTAAAAGAGTTTTATACTGTGTAAGACAATTCTGCCCCATATATATAATATGAATTATGATTTATGATTTAAATTATAATATTTAAGATTTTTTGGATCAATCTGGGATAAGTACAAAGTAGTATATGTTCAAAGATAACTCTCATCCCTTTGACATTGAATGCTCACATTCCTGGTATCTATGATGCTCGAATCCGAGTCCTTAAAGAATAATAATAATTCCTTTACATCGGAGGACTTGATTTGTGCATAATATTTAAGATTTGAGCATGATATGTTTTTAAACATTTAGTATATTATATTATTTTTATACATTTAATTTATAAGGCAAATTATATCAATAGTAATCAACCATTATCACCTTTTTATTTTGGCCATTAAATTTTTCTTTTTTTACAAAAGTGTAACTAACGTTATATTTTTTATTTTGGTTAATGAAGGTTAAAAATTTAATGACGATATGATATGAAATTTTTAATATTCAACATCATTTTATCTCTCCTCAAATTGTATGTATTTTTAATAATTTTATTTAGATCAACAGGATTAGTAATCATCTTATTCAATTTAAATGAAAATCAAAATTTGACTTTGAGAGTGTTGAACCCAAGACAAATGGTCTAGCGTCCAGCCATTGAACTAGACCAAGAAACTGATAAAGTTCTACCAAGATAGACATAGGGAAACTATACATTTAGTACTTCAACTATTATTCTTATTTTGTTTTGTTCACCTAATTATTTTTTATTTCAAAATCATATTCAACGTTAAGTTTTGGTTTCATTTTGATCATTCACCGTTTATCTTTTAAAAGTGATGTTGAAAATGAAATTAAGGAAGATAACTTGACTTGTGAAGTTAAGGGGAAGATTATTGAAATGGATCATTCCGGAGTTGTGGAAGATAAGAATGATGTAGAAAAGCAAGAGGAAAGATGGTTTTGTTACAGTAAGGAAGAAAAGGAAAGGTTCAATAGAATACTGAATCACCATGCCAGGTCTCACACCTCTCATAACTAATAACTTGGTCACAAAAACAAAACCCGAAGATCCTATTGCACGTCGCTTTATAGTTTCATTTCATGTGAACGAAGTTGTTAACGTTGACGGCATTGATTTTGTCAAGTACTGTGAGGTTGAGGGACAGAGAGCTTCAAGCTTCATTAGATTAGAAAGACGATCGGTATGACTGTTCCTACAGCACCTGAGGTTGGATGAGTGTCTGTTTTTGTCTTATTAACCAAAAATGAGAAGATACTTAGTGGTTGGATGTTGGAATCTTTATAAGAAGACCGAGCTAAACATGTCATTTTCTGTCAAATATATGATGAGAATTTGATAAGTAAAATAATTCCATTTACAACAGTAAAAATGCAACAAAAAAATGGAACATGTTTGCATATTCATGTAAATTTTAACTTACTTGGCATCTGAGTTAAACAACAATAATTTCCAACTTTCTTGAAGGTCTTGTCGTAACCGTCCTTTGGGTGGATCCGAAATTGTATTTTGACTTAAATAAATGTATTAGAGTCGCCACCGATCATTTATTTTTAAAAATAAAAAATTAGGTTGATCGGATACCTCGGTTTATCCTCTTACCTGATCTGTGTTTTACCAGAAATATGTCGGGTTCAGGAGTCGATTACAGTCAAGGAAGGATTATCACCCTTGTACTGCCCTTTCGGTACAAATTTAATTTATCGGTTGTCTTAATTGCGAAAATTAAAAGTTAAATTAAAAATTAAAATTATCCAAATTACTTACCTTTGATCGATTAAAAATACCCCTAAAAAGGTAAAAAAGATGTTAGTTTGTAAAATAAAATATTGAGTGAGTCAGAAGGAATAATCAATAAAAGGTTAAATTTTAATGCTTTGAACGAAACAAAGAAAAAATAAATACATATATATACACATGTAGAGAAGTAAATGGAAATAAAATTAAAAGAATATAATATAAAAAGTAAATGGATAAATTCATGTCCAACAAGGGGACGGATCATGTATACTAAGAAAACGTGGAATAAAAAAACAATGTAAAGGAAAAAAATAAAAATTAATTAAATTAAAAAAATTGTAATACATAAATAAAATAAACAAAAGAAAGGGCAAAATTGACAAATAAAACAAAGTGCAGGAAAGATTTAGAAAGAAATCTTAATGAAATTCAGTAAAAGGGGTAAAATCAATTTTCAAGGAAAGTTTAAGGGACTAAAATTGTAGTTTGACCCTATCCATTGAAAACACGCAGATCTTGGGGCTTTTAGATGGGTTCTCGAGTCGAGTATAAATCCCAATAATGCATAAACAAATTTCATTTTTCACATCCCCACTTAAATGGATCAAAAACCCCTTTTTCATTTTCTCTGAAATATTCTTTGTGTTCTTCGTTTTACGAAGAACATTCCACAGGAGTTCATATGAACTCATATTCCGACCGTGCTCCGCCTCGTCGGCCGTCGTAGACTGGCGTCGGCCACCGTTCATCGGTGGTGAAACCGAGTGATTTTTACTCCCTTCGAAAGCTCTCCTCTCCCTCTTTCTAAATCCCAACACAATTTTCGTTGAAAAGCCTCGAGGAGATCTAGATATAAAAATATCTTTTGCAAACTTCCTCTTCCGATCATCGACTCTTCTCCAACAGTGGGTTTTTTGAATAAAAAAAGGAAAAAATAAAACCAAACACTCAAATATGCAACCACGTAAATGGCGAACTAAAAAATGTAATAAAAAATACCTTGTATATTGACGTTTATTTTTAGATTACAAGTGTGGTTTGCTTCCCTTCTTTCTTTATTTTAACTTTGCATGGATTTATAGGCTTTTGGAATCCATTATTTTCATTTCGTTTTAGAGTCCTATTTAGACTAAAATGCTACTTTTTTTTTTGTTTTTAACTTGATTCTTTAAAAATCTCTAAAAGAGGTTATCCACGATGGTGTCAAAAATTCTGGGATATGGGGTTGCTTGATGTGGTTGGAACGAGGACTCTCCAAGAGCCCTAGAGTGCTTTCATTTCGACCGTCAAATTACACGTTGATTTAACTTTCCAGGATGCGCGACGCTAAAGGGAAGAAGGTGAAACCGTAGCTCCACTATGTTGATCTAACAAAGATGATATATATATATATATATACGTATACAATACAATGCAATGCAATGCAATGCAATGCAATGCAATGCAATGCAATGCAATGCAATGCAATGCAATGCAATGCAATGCAATGCAATGCAATACAATACAATATATAATGGCATAATATATATCCACTATATCATATAGTATATTATAGTATATTATGTATATATTATATAATATAAACATAATATATAAATAAATATATAGTCATATAATACGCTTATACTTTCTAATATAAATGGACTAATATATAAATACTATATTAACAAGGTTAGACGAAAATGTATGTCTATATCTGCCACTCTTTGCCCATAGTCGTCTAACGGGAATAGGGTAAAGATTAAAAGACACTACTTTCATCCACCATGAATGGATCACCGGGCCTAACATCCTCCATCATGGGGGTCGATTCCTATCTTTATAAAATATTCTCCGT